GTTGGGACAACATGAATGACTTTTGTGGAACCCTGCATTATTTAAAGTGTAATTTTGGTCCTTTTCATTTTACAAACACCTCACTAAAACTTGTACTATCTAGTAAAACTGATTCAAGGTCAAGTTAAAAAAACATAAAACGTGTTCAGTGTTTCACCACTGGAGAGCAATCTGAACGAATCATTTACATTTTATAACATTATGCAGATCGCTCCCCAGTGGCTAACGATTAAATTTATAAAATGTTTTAAAACGGGTATGATTTAACAAAGTTCACTGAAATCATGTGACCTTCTCAATTTGATCTGAGCTCTAAAGCACTGATTCGAAACTGAAATTAAAGATTCGTAAACGTTTCGAAGCTTCATGAAGCAGTGCTACAACAACCAACGCAAACTCACAGCAATTCGTAACTTTTTTTATTTAGTGACGGATTTGTATGAATTCGTACAATATAATTCGTACAATTTAGCATGATTTGCTCATCACACAATGATGGTTGGGTTTAGAGGCGGGGTTGCGTGTCACCCCTCATTTATAAAGTCATACATTTTCGTACGACTTTACGACTTTACTGTACGAATTAGCCACTAAACTGACAAAACGTAAAATACTTACGTTTCCTCGTGAGATCAGGCTGATGAAAACAGCCATAACTAAAACACTAGCAGTGTTGGTCAGGGCGAAACAAAACTTTGCAATGTTACTGTGGCTGTATTGGAAATCGCCGCCCTATACCTTTAAATAGTGCACTATTTGATGGATCGTCTATTTGTAGAGGCGTCTGAAACCATACAGGATATTCTGAAGTGCACTCAATCAGTCCCACAATGCACTGCAATAACAATTGCACAACCCACGTACATTTAACAGCTAGAAAATTCCCATAATGCACTGTGAGAATTTTTGCAGAATACATTTCTGTGTTTAAACCCAAGATGGCGTTAACAGCGCAATCCTATCAGTGTAAGTTTCTAAATGAAATATTGCTTAATTAAAGTAACATTCGTATTCATGACAGAATTAAAAAGACTTCCTTTCTTTACTAATAGACAGCTTGCTAAGTGGTAAATACCTATCACTGGGTATGATCGAGAAGATTATGATCTGTTCCAGGGATTTATCAGCCAGCGAAACACAAACAAAACAACATCCCCTATTTACATTCACTTCAAGAGGACTATGTTAGTGGACTAATGTAAGGAATAGTGTGTATAGTGTATGTGCTACTTAAATAGGCTAATTTGCAACAGGTGGAACTCTAATCCGTGCATTGGGTTGTGGGAAATGTAGTCTTGTTTTTTTGTCAGGTTTGCAATGATGCGATTCCTCTCGATTCCATTTGGTTTGGTTCATGGCTAATACCACTTTAAACAAAACATCATTTTTGAATGGATGACTGGAAAATATACAGTACGTCCAGTTTGAAGGCACTGGGATACGGGCAGCATTAGTGCGCTCCAATAGGAACTTTTATTGCATTGAATGTGGCTGTATCACAATTGTCTCCAGGAGGTTGTTTATAGAGTGTAGATGTTTGTGTACATGAAAGAAAATCAAAATGCTTCTTTACTAATAGACAGCTCGCTAGGTGTTATATTACTATTACAGGGTCTGACTAAGAAGTTTAAAGTCAAATCCGTCTGAGGGATTTATCAACTAGCAAAACATAAACAAAGCAACATCCCTACTTCTTTACATTCACTTCTATGAGTGGACTTAATTAGTGGACTAATGTAGGTAATAGTAATTTAGGGGCGATATTGGATACAGCATGTGTAAAATAGGCTAATTTGGAACAGGTGGCACTGTAATCAGTGCAATGGATTGTGGGAAATGTAGTCTTGTGTTTTTGTCAGATTTTCATTCACTTCGTTGCTTCAAATCAAGGTTTGTAGTGATGTGATTCCTCTTAATTCCATTTGGTTTGGTTCATGGCTAATACCACTTTAAAAAAAGAATTCATTTTTGAATGAATGACTGAAAAATATACAGTACCTCCAGATTGAAGGCGCTGGCGCATATGGGCAGCATTATTGCGCTCCAATGGGAATTTCTGTTGCATTTCAACTTGAAGCCTCAATGTGGGCTGTGTCACAATTGTCTCCAGGAGGTTGTTTATGGATTGTAAATGTTTGTGTACATAAAAGAATTCAAAAGTCTTTGTTTCTTTACTAATAGACAGCTCGCTAAGTGTTAAATTACTATCACAGGGTCTGACGAAGAAGTTTAAAATCAAATCCGTCTGAGGGATTTATCAACCAGCAAAACATGAGCAAGGCAACATCCCTACTTCTTTACATTCACTTCTTTGAGTAGACTATATTAGCAGACTAATGTAGAGAATAGTAAATGAGGGGCGATTTCAGGTACAGCATGTGTAAAATAGGCTTATTTGGAACAGGTGACACTGTAATCAGTGCAGTGGGTTGTGGGAAATGTAGTCTTGTGTTTTTGTCAGATTTTCATTCACTTCGTTGCTTTTAATCAAAGTTTGTAACAATGTGATTCCACTCGATTACGTTTGGTTTGGTTCATGGCTCATACCACTTTTTAAAAGACTTTATTTTTGAATGAATGACTGAAAAAATATACCGTACATCCAGATTAAAGGCACTGGGATATGGGCAGTATTAATGTGTTCCAGTGGAAACTTCTCTTGCATGTCAACTTGAAGCCTGAATGTGGGCTGTGTCACAATTGTCTCCAGGAGGTTGTTTATTGAGTGTAGATGTTTGTGTACATGAAAGAATTCAAAAGTCTTCATTTCTTTTCTAATAGTTACCTCGCTAAGTGTTAAATAACTATGACAGTTCTGACCAAGAAGTTTAAAATCGAATCTATCTGAGGGATTTATCCAACGCAATCTCAAAGCAATTCGTAACTTTTTGATTTAGTGGCTAATTCGTATGAATTCAAACGATCTAATTCGTACAATTTAGTACGATTTGCTTATCACCCAATGACAGTTGGGGTTAGGGGTGGGGTTGGGTGCCACGCCTCCTTTTTAAAATCGTACATTTTCGTACGACTGAACTCAGCCACCAAACTGACAAAACGTAAAATACCTAAGTTTCCTCTTAAAATCAGCCTGATTTATCAACTAGCAAAACATAAGCAAAGCAACATTCCTTCTCTTTTACTTCCACTTTTTCGAGTGTAAAATATTAGTGGACTACTGTAGGGAATAGTAAATAGGGACGCTTTCAGATACAGCATGTGTTAAATAGGCGGATGTGGAAGAGGTGAAATTGTAATCAGTGCAGTGGGTTATGGGAAATGTAGTCTTGTTTTTTTCAGATTTTCATTCGTTTTGTTGCTTTAAATCAAAGACTGTAATGACGTGATTCCTCTCGATTACGTTTGGTTTGGTTCATGGCTCAAACCACTTTTCAAAAGACTTAATTTTTGAATAAATGACTGGAAAATATACAATAGATCCAGATTGAAGGCGCTGGAATATGGGCAGCATTAATGTGCTCCAGTGGAAACTTCTGTTGCATGTCAACTCGAAGCCCACATGTGGGCTGTGTCACAATTGTCTCCAGGAGGTTGTTTATAGAGTTTAGGCATTTGTATACCTGAAACAAATCAGAAGTCTTTGTTTCTTTACTAATAGACAACTCGCTAAGTGTTAAATAACTATAACAGCTCTGACCAAGAAGCTTAAAATCAACCAGCAAAACATAAACAAAGCAACATCCTTTCTCGTTTACACTGACTTCTTTAAGTGGACTAATATAGGGAGTATTAAATGAGTATATAAGGGGGGATTTCAGATACATCATATGTGTGTATGTGCTTAAATAGGCTAATGTGAAACAGGTGGCACTGTAATCAGTGCAATAGGTTATGGGAAATGTAGTCTTGTGTTTTTGTCAGATTTTTTTAAAACTAATAACAGCAGAAATGTTTTTAATTCATGAATTAAATTTAATAATGTATTTATTAATTAACTCATACATTCATTAAAATCATTTTAAATTGATTTATTATTAATAATTAATTTATTACATTTGATTTTATATTATTTTAATAATATTGAAAAATAAAATGTATGAATATTATTATTATTTTTATTATTATTAATATTTTATTATTATTATTATTATTATTATTATTATTATTATTATTATTATTATTATTATTATTAAATCAGAACAAATCAGAAGTCTTTGTTTCTTTACTAATAGACAACTCGCTAAGTGTTAAATAACTATAACAGCTCTGACCAAGAAGCTTAAAATCAACCAGCAAAACATAAACAAAGCAATATCCCTTCTCGTTTACATTGACTTCTTCAAGTGGACTAATATAGGGAGTATTAAATGAGTGTATAAGGGGGGATTTCAGATACATCATATGTGTGTTTGTGCTACATAAATAGGCTAATGTGAAACAGGTGGCACTGTAATCAGTGCAATAGGTTATGGGAAATGTAGTCTTGTGTTTTTGTCAGATTTTCATTTACTTTGTTGCTTCAAATCAAGGTTTGTAAGGATGTGATTCTTCTCGATTCTGTTTGGTTTGGTTCATGGCTCATACCACTTTTTAAAAATTTTATTTTTGAATGGATGACTGAAAAGTACACAGTACGTCAGGATTGAAGGCGCTGAGATGAGGGCAGCATTAATGCGCTTCGTTGGGAACTTCTGTTGCATGTCAACTCGAAGCCCGAATGTGGGCTGTGTCACAATTGTCTTCAAGAGGTTGTTTATGGAGTGTAGAGGCGGACAGCGATGACTTGTATGGAGGGTTTCCACAACGCCACCTACTCCTCCAAAAGACACTTTCTGTCATTCTGTCTCTCCCACTCTTCCTCGCTGCTAACCCGAAGGCTAAATTGGCTATCTCCATGTAAATATGAGGCTTTGGTGTGGTTTAATTACTATGGGGAAGACTGAAGATGGAGCATGTGATTTGAGGGAGGAGAGAAAGGGGGATGCTGCTAAAGTTCAGATCATTCAGGATTGACCTTGTTGTATGTTTTTGTGGTTTAGGGGAAGAGGAATAAACCCGGAGTGGAGTCCGTCGGGTCTCCGGATTCAGGAAGAGGAAGAGGGGAGAAAAAAGCCATCAAGTAGGTGCAAGGATATTTATTTTATTCATTGGGGTGTTTTTTTTTTTTTTTGTTTTTTTTTTGCAAGATCGTTGTGTTGGAGTGAAATCTGATTGTGTGGATCACATGACTATAATCTGTTATCTTCACATATAAGGAAATCAGTTCAGTAGTTTGGTGGTGGTCCGTCAGAGAAAGCAAGAAGGCTCAAAATATGTAATTAAAATTAACAATGGGTAGATTAATTTAACAAATTAATTTAAATAAATAAAAATATATATATATATATATATATATATATATATATATATATATATATATATATATATATATATATATATATATATATAATTTATTAAAATGTTCATATATTTATATGCTGAATTTAAATGTAATGTAAA